AGGGCCCACGGCCGTGCCTCCAACCCAGTGCCTGCCAGGCAGAGCTGTCCCCAGAGGCCATTTGAGGTTTGAGATCAGGGGAGCAGCAGCAGCACTGAGGAGGCCTCAGCCTCATTCAGCAGGAGCTGCGCCTGCATGTGTGCTCATGAGCGTGTGTGTGGGGCCTGCGGGGGTTTATGAGCCTGCACACGGCTGTCTTGTGTCTGTGGGATCTGCTGTGTGTAGGTGTGGGGATGAGTTCCTCTAGGGAAGCTGTCATTGGTGTGCTCCTTCCCTCAGGCCCCAGCCTCGGCGTTGGGCCATTGCCCTTTCAGGGAGGGCTGGGACAGCAACCCGGCCTCTGGGGACAAGAGCCCTTCTAGATGACCTTCCACAGGAACAAAGGTTCTATGTCCTTTCCCACATCCCAGGTAAAGAGGATAAAGAAGGGCCAGCTGGACACCTGGGTACCTCTATCTGCTCCTGAGGCCCATCTGTGTCTTCCAGGGCTGGCCCCGTGGGAGAAGGCTCGGGTGCTTCCCCTAGCTTGGCCCAGGGCTGGCTCTGTGCTTGGATGACTGGGATGGAGGTAGGAAGACAGGGCAGTCCCCTGAACGTTGCTGGGAGGTAGCCATCCTGCTTTGGGCACCTTCAGAGCGTTGAAAGTGAGAGGCGAAAACAACTCTGTCTCCTAAGAAGGAAAACATGACCTTTGGAAAGTGGATCTGCACGTTTCCTACAGGCTTCTGCCGTTAGAAGCAAGCTCTGCCCCCAGTCACCCCAGCCTCCTACTGGGCTGCCTCCCTGCTTGGCAGGTGGCTTGGACACAGGAGAAACCTAGAGGCCATCTAGATGTTTTATTCAAGGAGGGCCCCTTCCCAGAGGCTCCTCCAACAGCCTCAGTCCCCAGGCCTTTCCGGTACTGAGTCCTCCCTGTGGGGGCCCACTGCTCTCCACACCTACTTGAATAAGAACTTCAGGCCTCTGTTCTCAGCCAGCCAATACAGTGATCACAAATAAGCAACGGGGGTTGATGGGCCAACCCTCACTCTATCACCCTTCAAGTCTCTCCTCTAGTCTTCCATCTCGTCTTACATTTCCACTCTTCCTCCCATCTTTTTTTTTTTTTTTTTTTTTTACGGAGTCTCACTCTGTCACCAGGCTGGAGTGCAGTGGCGCAATCTCGGCTCACTGCAACCTCTGCCTCCTGGGTTCAAGCGATTCTCCTGCCTCAGCCTCCCGAGTAGCTGGGACTACAGAAGCCTGGCACCACGCCCAGCTAATTTTTGTATTTTCAGTAGAGACAGGGTTTCACCATGTTGCCCAGGCGGGTCTCCATCTCCTGACCTCGTGATCCGCCTGCCTTGGCCTTGCAAAGTGCTAGGATTACAGGTGTAAGCCACCACGCCCAACCCCTCCCATCTTCTCAATTTATCCACCCCACCAGGTCCATTCATTCCCCTCCTGTTCCCTCACTTTATATATTGAGGCTTTTTTGTCTGGCCCATTTCCAGAGATAATCTGAAGTACATTTCTCTCCCTAGATCTGAAAGTCACATTTTATTGTATTCTTACTGTATGTCATGCCCATGTGCAATATCTCATTACAAATTCCCATGGGGCCCTTATCCTCAACCTCATTTTATGAAGAAATAGGCTAATGGATGGATCCCAAACTTCAAGGCCAACTAGCAGAGCCAGAATTCTAGCAGCTCCTCCTGCCCTCTGGGACACTGCTCCCCACTGCCCCCCGATGGCCAGGCCAGGGGCTTCAGGGAGAATAGTTTCCAGGGTCTGTTCCCATCCAGGTATGGACAATCCTGGGATGACTGAGCAACCCGCAGGGAATGGGTAAGTCTAAGGAACTGCTCCCCTGCTGGCAGCCAGGGGATGTGCTCCCCTCCTACTCCCAACAAGTGCTGATCAGATTGACACCTGGGGTGTGTGTGGGGTTGGGGGAAGGCCAGGGTACAGAGTCTGCTGGAAACGGAGCCTCTGGGGGCTGGGTGTAAGCATGATACCTTAAAAGATGCCCTTTTCCCCAGTCCAGCCCACTGCTCCCTCACTAGCCCAGGGTAAGAAGGGGTAGGAGGCCAAGAGATCCTGTCTGAGGTGAGACAGTGTGCAGTGTGGAGGGCAGAGCATTTTGGAAGACCGCACTCCTGGAGCTGAGCTGAGGAGCAAAGAGGGAAAAAGCCTTCCCAGCTCCCAGGCCTGTGCTCCTCTCCCCACTGGTCGCCTGGGTGTGGGCAGGAATGACCCTGGTCAGCTTTTCTCCTGGATCCCTGGGGGCTGAGGGCAGATGTGGCTATCATTCTCAGCATTCCCCTCCAACCTGTGACCTTCCCAACCCTACCTCAGCTTCCCCAGCTTTTGCTGCAGTCCTTCTTGCCCCAGCCTGTGGGCAGCGGCCCCCCCCTATTGTTCTTAAGGCAAGAACAGATGCCCAAGTAGAGAAAATAATTTAATAGAGAAACAGTGAATTATACTCTTCACACCCAGCCTCCTGCAGGGAGGACAGACAACTCTTGCCCAAGGAGGCATTTAAGGGCAGAAGGGCTAGAAATCACCAACACCCGCTGATTAGTTAAAAGAAACTCTCAAATACATTATTTTCCAGGTTAAATTCACTTTGTACTCATAAGCGCCCATGCTGTGGGCTGTGGAGGTATCAGCCCCATTGAAGAGATGGGGAGACCCAGGCCCACAAAGGGGAAGGGGTTTGCCCAGGGCTCCACAGCGGCAGAGCAGGCCTAGAAGTGGGAAGCCTGGAGTGCATTGGGTCAGACCGTCTCCCTCTCCCAGGCTCAAATTCCAGCACAAGGCCCGCGCTGTGGCTAGTGTGGGGCCCAAAGAGGAACGGAGGTGGGAGAGATGAGGACCAAGGAACCTTCCTGAGTGCTCCCTAGGCCAGGGCAGGAACAAGAAATGGTCTTCTTAAATTTGCCCCACCCCGAAAGATACAACTTTCATGCCTGAAGGATTAATTTAAAGTACCGAGATGGCGGGCAGGTGTGAGCTCCCAGAAAGACTGGTGGGTTCTATGGGGCTGAGTGCATACTGTGGGGTGGGTGGTCCCTGAGGGGTGCTGGAGTGCCCCCATTCCAGTGCAAGGAGGAGCTGAGTTGGAATAAGGGGTCCCGGGAAGGGCAGGCCAGGGGCACAGCTGCCTACTGGCAGGGCGAGGGCAAGCACAGAAGTGCCCTGCAGGGGCCCCTTGCCCTCTTCTCAGAGCAAAAAATGATAGACGGCTGCATGCTCCAAAACTGACAGGCACAGGATCCAGTAACCACCGAATAACAAACAAAGGTCTCATGAAAGAAGTGCTGTTCTCCCAGAGTCCTGCCCTCCCCTCCAGCATACAGCACAGCCATCAAACCGCCTGTGGGGTGCAGAGTAACCTGAGGGAGGCTGGGGACTCTGGAATGTGGGGGTCTCAGCACTGTCTATCCAAGAAGCCTGCTTGCCAGGGCTGCAGTGGGCCACTTCATTCTTGGCATCAGCCTGGGTTAGTACCCCTCTGCCCCAGATGGCTCACGTCTGTCCAATCATTCTTCTGGGGTCACTGTAGGGTACAAGCTATGGAGGGGGAGGGAGGCAATGGGGGAGGGTCAGTCTCAGGTCTTTGGTAAGGGAAGCAGAACCCAGGGCCCCCAGCCCTCACCCCTCTTTGGATGGAGGATCGACCCCAGGGCAAGACTCACAGCTACGAACAGATTCCGACAGTCCCTCTTTGTCCAGGGTGTCAGCTTCCCAGCGAGATTCCCTCATCTGTGGAATGTGAAGGCAGCACAAGGGATGAGAGGCAGCCAGGAGGCAGACACACGAGCCACAGCGCACAGTGCTGAGCAAGAGAGAGAGTGAAGGACGGGGACACGAGCCACAGCGCACAGTGCTGAGCAAGAGAGAAAGTGAAGGGCAGATACAGGGACAGGGAGGCCTGCAGAGGAGGCGGGAGAGCAGACATACACCAGCAGGGTAGGGATGACAGCCACAAGCAGAGAGCAACAGAACCCACAGACCCTAGCCCCAGCGTGGCCCCATGTGCCCACCTTGACCTGCTCCTTCAGGTATTCAGCTCGGGCCATGAGGTTCTGAACCTGCCAAGGAAAGATATGCCCTTGGGTGTGGGGGAGAGCGGCGGGGGGTGGGGTTTCAAAGGGAACTCCTCCTCAACCCTGATGCTCTCTAGAACCCTCTGCCCCGTCAGAACTTGCCTCCTGAGTCCCTTATCTGCTCCTTCCTCCAGGAAGCCTTCCCAGACTTTTTGCTGCTGGGTTCCCAGATCCTCCACTGCCCTGTCTGAGTACCCCAGCCCTATGGTTTTGACTTGCAGACCTGGAACACCCTGAGAGTGGGACATTCCAGAGGAAACCCAAAGAGATCCCCACAGGTAAGAGCAAAGAAAGGGGAAGAGGAAGCCTCCCAACCCTCTCAAGCTCAGTGGGCACCTCAGTGTGAAGCAGCTCCCGCCTCCGGCCCGGGGGCTCCGCTGTAAAGAGAGGGCGTGTGGTGAGGGCAGGGCAGCCAGGGGCCCTCTGGGGGGCAGAAATGGGGGCCCTCACCTGCCAGCAGCAGCAGCAGCTCCCCCAGACTATGCTGGTACAGGTCCAGGGCATCCTGCTCCCCACCAGCAGCTTCCTCCTGCAGCCACAAGGACACCAGGCTGCTTAGGGTCATGGCCTGGCTATCTCCCCACCCTGCCCCATCCTGTCCCACCTAGACCCTTCTCACTGGCACAAACCTTGGCCATGGCAGCTGAAGCTACTTCCAGGGCAGCTAGGAGGCGTGGCTTGTCCCGGGCCATCTCTAGAATGAGAGGAAAGGCTCAGGGTGGGGGAAGCAGCCTGCCTGTTCCCTGCAGGATGCCTTTCCCCACCCGCCTCCCCCTCAGGCTGTGGGGAGGTTTGCTGGGGCCCCTGGGGTCAGCCAGGAACCGGAAGTCTACCTCTGAGCAGATCTCGGGCAGAGGTCCCCTGCCTCAGCAGGGCCTGATTGGAGGAGGAGACGATGGCCTTGAGCTCCTCGGCCCGGGCCACGTACTGCCCCACCTGTAGCAGGGAAAGGGCCTGAGGAGGTGCTGTCTCACCTGCTGCCCTTGCCAGAACCCACCTCCAAGTTCTCCCTCTGCATTGTTAGTGACTGCCGCAAGCTATAAACATGTCAGGGGGCAAATGAGGCTGGCCTGACCCATTCCAAGCTCTGTGTTGCAGGAGAGGAAGTTCCAATTCTAAGACAGCCATTCCCCAGGGGCCCTGAGATCTCAGGGCCTTACCCCCTGCCCCCCCCCACTTCCTCATGGGGACTCTCACCCACCTTTGCCTTAATTGCCTCCTTCCGCTGGGCATCCGCCTCATCTGCAGAAAGTGAGGTCATATGAGGAGTCTGGGAGAACCCCTGCCCCACACCGAACCCTCTGGAATCCCTCCAAACACAATATTCCAAGTTTATGCTCTGCTTTATTGCCTACAACACTCTGGATAGAGAACTGGAATCCACCTATTGCAGCCACAGACGACTCCCATCCCTGCTGCACCCAGGGGCTTCAGGCATGGCCTGGGACTCACAGTGCAGGGCAGGTACGAAGAAGTCCAGAGCCTTGCAGTAGAGCGATAAGGCGGCTGCTGCATCCCCCTCCTGGTCTTTCTTCACAGCCTGCACCACCAGGGTGGTCTAGGGGATGGGCAGATCAGGGGTCAGGTCCACCTCCCTACCCTCCCACGCTCACCAAGATGGGAGATCAGCTCCCCTGAGCCCACCCTCTGTCTCTGTTGGGCAAGTCACCTATTCACCACCAAAGGGGTCAACGAGACCTTCAGCCCACCCTCAGCCCACCCTCAGCCCACCCCAGCCCCATCCGCCTGCTCACTGCTCGATCCAGACTCTCCCTACTGGGCATGTGCTCCAGGTCCACCCAGGGGTGTGCAAAGAAGTCCTGGAAGGAGATGCGACGGCTGGGGTCCCGCTCCAGGAGCCGCTGCAGTAGGTCCCGGCAGTCTCGGGAGAGCAGGGGTCGCAGGGGGAGCTGTAGGGAAGGGAATGGCAGGGACAGATCACACTGGGCTCCAGCCCCTCAACCTCTAGCCCAGGGGTCGGCGAGGAACCCGAGGTATGCGTTGGACAGGTGGGGAACCTGAGACTGAGGAGGAACAGGTGGGTCAAGATGATGGAGCCAGTGAGGAGCCAGGCCTCCATCCCTGGACTCCTGGCGCACCCTCGCTGGAGCCCTGAGCTGAGCTAGAATTGTGTTTCTGGGTCCTTATTTCCCTCCCTGGACTATGTTCCTGGGAAGGCTGGGTCTGGCTCTGCTTTGGCTTTCTCCCCACAAGGTCCTGCAAAATAGGCACTGTGCTGCCTGCTGTGGGCTGACTTAAGTCCCTGGGACAGCCCGGCACCTCGACTTCCAGTCTAGAGCATGCCCCTCCACTACAAAGGCAGCCTGGAGCCCACACTCCAGTCTCTGCAGGTGAGAGCGAGGTGTAAACCCTCAGGGCCCTGACTCCCTCTGCCCCCCAGTGGTTGCTAAGGGCCTGCTAGACCCACCTCGATGACCCGGTTGCTACGGATCTTCTCTTCCAGCTCCAAGAACGACCTGGAGGCAAAGGGGGGCTGCCCGAAGAGGGCTTCTGTGGAAGGGAGGCAGAGCGGAGGCTGGGAGGGAATAGGTCAAGCCTGGCCTGAAGCCCCTCAGCAGGGGTCGTGGGCCAGCAGTGAGTTTTCATCAGAACCCTTCAGGAGTGGCCCAGAGAGGCCTTGCCTGAGGAAACACTGTACGCCTCAGGGTGAGAAGCAGGGAAAAGAGGTCTCACCATACAGGATGACCCCGACGGACCAGAGGTCTACGCGGGCGTCATACTGCCGCTGGCACACCATCTCGGGGGCCATGTAGAGTGGGGAGCCACGGAGCACGTGCTTCTCATCCCACGGGGACATGTGCTGTGCGAAACCAAAGTCTGCAGGCAAGAGGTGAGGCAGCAGGGTTTGAATTCTAGCTGCTTCCACTCCTGGCTTGTAAAGCCTCACCCCAGGCTCCTCTCCACCCTCCAGACCCAATCAACCCTATTTCCAAGCCTCTGCTCATCATTAGCCTGGAACACCCTCTCATATCTGCCTCTGGGATGTAAAACCTACCCATCCTGCACAGCTCCCTTGGGCACCTTTTCCTAGGAAGCCCACCTGATCACACTAGCTACATGGATAAGCCCCTACCCTCTTACTGTCCCCCAGGCTTAGGTTCTACCACAGTCTCTAGCCTTCAGTGTCAATTCTTGTCCAAATCTTATCAAGGGTCACCACCTCCTACTCCTCCACCACACACTCTCCTATGTGGCCATAGATGGAGTCACAGACTTGAGCCCCAATTCTGATGACAGACTGAGTCCTGTCCCTGACCACAGAGTGATCCCTGATCCTGGTCACACACTGAACCCCAGCACTGTTCCCAGACTGACCCCCAAACCTGGACACACAGTGAGTCCCAACTCTGGCCACAGACTGAGCCCTAACTCTACCCATTACGCTGCTGGACTTGAGCATGGGTAGCCTGAGAAAGGTTCTGCCTTTTGATGGCAGGGCCCAACCCCAGACTTCGCAGCCTGTTACTCTTTGAGGACTCTATAGAGGGCTCCATGAGAACTAGGGCTGCTGAGTGAGCCCAGGGAGAGGGAGGCCTCCGCACGCTCCAAACCTCATCCCTGCTGTTTCAGACACAGACCTGCCAGTTTTAGGTGGGGCTTCTCCAAGGAGCTCAGCAGAATGTTCTGTGGCTTCAGATCCAGATGAGAGATACTGCGTTCATGCAGGAACTGCAGGGCGCTAGCTGAGGAGTGGGACCCACAAAGAGACAGTTCAGAGCCCATTCCCGCCTGCCTCTTGCCTGCTCGGCTCACATCTGCCTCCTCGGCTCACATCTGCCTCCTCAAGCCTACACAGCCCCAGTTCCTGCCTGGCTAGTCTAATGTTTTCCATATAAGCACCAAGATCCCACCACTTCTAGGAGTTTGCCACCCCACCCGAGTGCCCACCCTCCTCCCCTCTGCCCCTTCACAAGTCTCCCCGCCTCTCAGAAGCCTCTCTGGATGCCCCAGTCCTAGAGAATCTTGCTCTTTTCCTTGGCACAGCACTTGAGTCCTACCTACAGGACTCTGGAATGTTCTACAAGGTCCTTATATTATGTTCTATGTATGGAAGCCTCAACACCCCACAGAGGGGGATTACTCCCTCATCTGTCCCACAGCATCCCTGAGCAAGGGTTGAGTGTATGAGATAAACAGGACCCTAAAATTTCAGACTGTGCAGGAGGCAGCTGCAATGTGTGCCAAGGCTCTAAGCCTGGCGGAGGGGTGGGATGGCGGGGGGCAGAGAACAAGGGACGGAGCGTCAGCCTGGGGTCACAGTCCTTTACCTAACTGCTGCATGAAGACACGCGCCACCTTCTCAGGCAGAATCCTGCGGGTATGGATGAAGCGAGACAGGTCACCCCCTGCGCAGAACTCCATGATGAGGTAGATATTGTCACTGTCCCACTGTGTTTAGAGGTAGAGAGGCAGCCTGAAGACAGTGTCCCTTCTCCAGCTCCCTTTTGGCAGCGGCCCCGCCCAAGGCTCGCACCTGAAAGTCTTTCAGCTGCACAATGTGGGGGTGTCGAATGCCCTTGAGGATCTCAATCTCCGTCAGGAGGTTCTCCACCGATGCCTTGTTCAGACTTTTCTTGGCTACACACTTTATGGCTACCACCTCACGAGTGTCCTTCTGCGGGACAGGAGATTTGGGGGCTCTGCCTTGAGGAGGCCAGGACCTTGCCTGACTGGAAAGGCTCTGTCTGGTTCCCTCTGTCCCCCGACTCCGCCCCCTCCCCGGGTCTACCTACTGCACACCAGCAACGGGCTTCCCAGCTTTCCCTTGTGAGGTCAGTGAGGAATGTTGATTCTGGAGCCCTGGCTTCCCGACCCAGCCTCAGCCTGGTCTTCTCCAGCCCTCAGCTAGATGATCCATTTCTTTGCATTCTGGAGTGCTCCCAGCAGAGGCATGTCACTCAGAGTTCCAGAACCGCCCACTCTGCCTCCTAACTGGCTCCAGTCCCAGACTCCTCCCAGCCCACCAGGTAACCTGTTTTGAGCCTGTTCAGCCACTGACCCTGCAGGTGGGTGCAGGTGCGCCCTTTAAGACCTAAGCGTGGCGGTCGGCTCCAACCTCCGCCGAGGGTCTGGCTGGGGCGAAGCCGGCCTCCCGCCCCTAACTGTTCCCACACTGTCGCTAACCTCTCGGAGTCTCCCCGGCCGGCACCAGCCGGGCTAGCTCGGGCGGGCACGGGGCCACCGGCCGGCACCCACCTTGGCGTAGGCCTTGTACACCGTGGCGTACCTGCCGCTGCCCAGGCGCTCGGTGAGGATGAAGCCGTCCAGGCGCGGGGGGCCCCAACCGGGCCCCGCCATCCCGGCCGCCCGCGCCCGCGCAGGCGCTTCCTCGCTGCGGGCGGCGGTTCCGGCGGGTTGGGGGACGGGCCGAGCACGGGGCTGCTCCACGCTGCCCCCAGCGCCGCCCGCCGGAAATGCAGCGCGCATCGGAGACTCGGCTCCGCCCCGCTCCCGGCGCCCCTCCCCTGTCCCCACACCTCGCCGGGTCATGCGCCCCGCCACTTCCTGCAGGGCCCACGTGGGGACACAGAGGCCCCGCGAGCCTAGAAGTGAGCGGAGGACTGCCGGCGCGGTCTCCGGGGACTCCCAGCGGGCGCAGAGGCGTCTAGAGATCGCCCACATGAGGACGCGGGCTCCAGAGGAGCGGACGTGTGTGGGGGAGATGGCGTCCGGGAGGCCTCCAGGGCCCCTCCCCAGGACCCGCAGCTCTGAAAGCAGAGGTACTGGAACGAGAAGGCCTCTTTGGAAGAGGCCGCGTTGGCTTCCCGGGCCTCCCAGCTGCTTTTCACTTTTCTGAGGAAGGGCCTTGAGGACCTATTTATTGCATCTTAACTGTGCCGGCTCTCCAATCCTAGCAGCAGCGCCCAGCCCCTAATCCTGTGGGCTGCCCCCCTCCTCCCAAGTCCACCAGACATGTGGACCAGTGTTGTCTGAAAATGTCTTTTTATTTTTATTTAAGCACAAAATTGAGACGTAACATATACATTTGTACATAGAGGGGAAAAAATACCAGAAAGGAGTTTATAAAACCCCAACCACTGCCAGTATCATTCAGTGGCTCGGGGCCTGCGGCTGCCTGGGGCCTAGAGCCGGAGGCTAGTTTTGTGGGAAGGCCCCCCCCAGTCCACACACCGGCTTGGCAGCCTGGGGGAACAGGGTGCTGGTTTTAAAGGTGGACTCCTAGTTGTCCATCACAGTGACACCCCCCACCGGGGTGTGAGCCAGACTCCACCGGGTATTAGGGGGCCCTCCAAGAGATGGCTCATCAGTTCCTGCTGAAGGATGCGGTGCTGGACTGGCTGGCCCTGCCCTTCCTGAAAGTCTGGATGCCGCTGATGGGGAGCATGGGTGGGGCAGGTGGCATCTGAGGCAGAGGCAAAGGCAGCCGTCCCTCAGGGGAGGGGAAGTCACAGTAAACAGGGCCAAACCAACCACACCAGCACAGGCAGACCCCGCCCTCCTGGAAGACGCTGGGCAGGACAGCTTGGGGTCAGTGTCCTTGGTCCCTTCCCATCCCCAAACCCCAGCCAACCGCATTGCACATTCAGAGTCTGAAGAGAGTAAGGCTCAGCAAGGGAGGGCTCCAGAGGGCTCAAAGTGCAGTCCCCTGCAGGAGGGTGCAGGGGGCTAAAGGGCTATGAATCCGTTTATGAGGAATGTGAGGCAGGGAAGAGCCGAAGGCAGCCGGTTTTCTCTGGATCCATTTATGAGGCAGGCAAGAGCTTGAGGCAACCAGCCTTCTCTGGAAGCCTGGAGACCACTGGAGTGACCTGGAGAACAGATCTGTCCACCAGAGCCTGTGAGAGGCTTATCCCCAGCCGGGGCAGGAAGGGCTGGGCTGTGTCTGAGCGGCCAGATTCAGGCCAGGCCTGCAGGGTGGGGAAGTCAAGGCCCAGGACCCTGGCAGAAAACTCCAGCTGGGGTGGGCCCAGGTCAGCCTGTGATCCCAACTGTGTGGGGGTGTCTGTGTGTGCACAGGACGAAGAGAACTTCAGTCCCACTGCTTCCAGAGACAAAAGAATCCTATCAAACCATCACTAGAGAAGGAAAGAGAGCTTTGTTTTTTTTGTACATAGAGGGGGGAAAAAAGTCCCTGTCCCTCCCCTTCCAGGGAGAGCTGGTCGCTGAGGGAGGAGGAAGAGCCACAGCAAGACCCCTGCCAGGTCTGTGCTGGGCACAACCACCACCACATAAGGCACCCATGGAAAGTGCAGCTCAGAAGGCAGGCGAGAGAAAGGCTGAGGGGGAGAGAAGAGAGAGGAGGACTAATTCCCCTGGAAGGCTCCTTGGGCAGCAGATGAAGCAGCTCTGTGGAAGGTTCTGCTGCTGAAGATGCCCTGGGAAAACTCCTCCTGGGCCTGCTGGAAGCTGGCCCCTGTCCGGCGGTAGAGGGAGTGCACCTGGCGAAGAGGGGTGGGGTGAGAGGAGCCTGCCCTTTGGGCCCACCAGGAACCCAGCCATCCAGGACATACTCCCAAAGGGGTCACCAGAAGCCCGGCACTGCCTGACCCCCCACCCAGATCCCTGGAGAAAGGTGCTGGACCTTTGGGAGCCTAGGAGACCCAACTGCAGTGGTGAAGAACATCTCACGGCAAGGGCAGGAAACAGTTGCCTGCTTCCTCCCATTTGCTGTCAGCCCTGCCCACACCACTCACCCGCTGCAGGAGGAAGACTGAGAGCACGGCACAGAGGGTGAAGAAGCCAGCCACCACCATCATGATGACTGATACAGCCAGGGACCCTTTCTTCAGTGTAGACAGGGCTGCAATCCAACCGCTATAAGGGAAGAAGAGGCCAGAGGGAGCAAAGTGGTAGTGGGCCCCAAGAGTCAGCATAAGGGGCTCTTCTCCAACTGGCCACTGTGTCCTGACCATCACCTTGGCATTTCCCCACAGCACAGGGAGCCCTATGAGCCAGAAGCCCTTGGCCTGTGAGGCCAGACCTCCATGAAGGCTGACGGGCCCACACTACCCCACTCACAAGGGGAATCTTCTGGTTATGTGAGGTCTGAAAGGGAGGATGTGGTTGCTGCCTTCACAGAGTCAGAAGTAGCACTGGGCTGGGTGCTGTGGCTCTTGCATGTAATCCCAGCACTTTGGGAGGCTGAGGCAGGAGAATCACTTGAGCCCAGGAGTTCAAGACCAACCTGGGCAACAGAGGGAGGCCCTGTCTCCACAAAAAATTTAAAAAGGCCAGGTTTGTGCCTGTAATCCCAGCACTTTGGGAGGCTGAGGCAGGCGGATCACTTGAGATCAGGAGACCAGCCTGGCCAACATGGTGAAACACTGTCTCTACTAAAAATACAAAAATTAGCTGTGCGTGGTTGCACGCGCCTGCAATCCCAGCTACTCGGGAGGCCAAGGCAGGAGAATCACTTGAACCTGGAAGGTGCAGGTTGCAGTGAGCTGAGATCATGCCATTGCACTCCAGCCTGGGTGACAGGGCGAGACTCCGACTCAAAAAAAAAAAAAAAAAAAAAATTAACTGGCTGTGGTCATACATACCTGTGGTCCCAGCTACTCGGGATGCTGAGGTGGGAGGATCACTTGAGCCTGTGAGGTTCAAGGCTGCAGTGAGCCGTGATCACGCCACTGCACTCTAGCCTGGGCAACAGAGTGAGACCCTGTCTCACAAAAAAAAAAAAAAAAAAAAAAAAGGGCCAGGCGCAGTGGCACACGCCTATAATCCCAGCACTTTGGGAGGCCAAGGCAGGCGGATCACGAGGTCAGGAGATTGAGACCATCCTGGCTGACACAGTGAAACCTCGTCTCTACTAAAAATACAAAAAATAAGCCAGGCGTGGTGGTGGCAGGTGTCTACATAGTCCCAGCTATTCAGGAAGCTGAGGCAGGAGAATGTTGTGAACACCTGGGAGGCGGTGCTTGCAGTGAGCAGAGATCGCGCCACTGCACTCTAGCCTGTGCAACAGAGACTCCATCTCAAAACACAATAATAATAAAATAAATAAATAAAGTAGCACTGGGCTGGGCCTTTTTCTGATGCTTTGCTGGTGGGGAGTATGGAAAGCGTGGCTGCTCACTCCTGAGGACCCACCTTCTTGGAAGGAGGATCACTGGCCAACTTGCTGTCACCTGTCTGAGCCCCATGTCCTCATCTGTAAAAGGGATATTCTCATATTTCTTGACATCAAAACTTACTACAAAGCTACAGTCACTAAAATAGTGTAGGACTGGCATAAAGATAGACATATAGATCAATAGATCAATGGAATAGAACTGCAATTCCAGAAATAAACCCATACACCTATGGTCAGTTAATTTTTCTTTTTCTTTTTTTTTTTTTTTTGAGATTGAGTCTTGCTCTGTAGCCCAGGCTAGAGAACAGTGGCATGATCTCGGCTCACTGCAACCTCCGCCTCCCGGGTTCAAGCAATTCTCCTGCCTCAGCCTCCCGAGTAGCTGGGATTATAGGCACCTGCCAATGCGTCCGGCTAATTTTTGTATTCTTTGTAGAGATGAGGTTTTGCCATGTTGGCCAGGCTGGTCTCAAACTCCTTCCTGACCTCAGGTAATCCACCCGTCTCGGCCTCCCAAAGTGCTGGGATTACAGGCATAAGCCACCGCGCCCGGCTGGTCAATTAATTTTTGACAAGGATGCCAAAACCACTCAAAGAGAAAGAATAGTCTCTTCAACCAATGGTACTGGAACAACGATATCTACATACAGAAAAATGAAGTTAAATGCTTATTTCAACCATATACAAAAATTAATGTAGGCCAGGCACGGTGGTTCATGCCTGTAATCTCAGCATTTTGAGGGGCCAAGGCAGGAGGATAACTTCAGGCCAGAATTTGAGACCAGCTTCGGCTAGCAAGACCCTGTCTCTACAAAAAATTTTAAAAATTAGCCAGGCATGGTTGTGCATGCCTGTAGTCCTAGCTACTCAGGAGGCTGGGGCAGGAGGATCACTTGAACCCAGGAGGTCAAGGTGATAGTGAGCTATAATTTTGCCACTGCACTCCAGTCTGGGTGACACAGCAACACTTTTTTTTTTTTTTTTTTGAGATGATGTTTCACTCTTTTCGCCCAGGCTGCAGTACAGTGGCGCAATCTTGGCTCACTGCAACCTCCACCTCCCAGGTCCAAGCAATTCTCCTACCTCAGCCTCCAGAGCAGCTGGGATTACAGGCTCCCACCAAAACACCCGGCTAATTTTTTTGTATTTTTTTTTTCTTTTTTTTTAGAGATGAGGGTTTGCCATGTTGGCCAGGCTGGTCTCGAACTCCTGACCTCAAGTGATCCACCTGCCTTGGCCTCCCAAAGTGCTGGGATTACAGGCGTGAGCCACCGCACCCAGCCAACTCAAGCCTTCTGATTCCCAGTCCAGGTGCAAACGGCCGTCATGAATCACAGTTTTTCTACCAGGGTCTGTCTTAGGTAATGAGTAATGAAATTGGGTCACTGGTCAAAAGGGACCAGATTAACAACAGCAGGGCAAAAAGCATGAGGGGTGGTGGGAGGGCAGCGTGCACTTGCTTGGAGGGTAAGGGGAGGCAGCCCTTCTCTCCCCACTGCTCTGGACTTGCCAGCTCTGCCGGAGGGAGGGGACCAAAATAGCACCGCCCTTCCAGGCTCAGGCTGTCAGCCAAGTGCCAGTCTGACCTTTCTGCAATGCTCCCTGTGCACTGGAGCAGAAAGGAAAACATCAGCCATCAGCTTTTCTTTTGAGATTAATTTTGAGCTGAGGACTGAGGTATCCTGGAAACTCAAACCAGCTATATGCTCAAAGAGGGCAGCCAGAAGAAGCCTGTCCAGGGGAGGTGAGGGACGTGTCTCCTTAAGTTACAAGGCATCTGAAAAAAGTCGCAGCCCAGTCTGCAAAGGCCTGGGCATCCATCAGCTTCCAGGAGGGTGTGGCAGGAGAAAAGGAAGAGGCTGCAATCCAGTGCAAGACACTGTCATGGTAGCCTAAAGAGTCAAACCAAGTTCACCCACAACACCCTAGAAAGTGGAGAGCAGGGAAAGATAGTGTCTTTTTTTTTTTTTTTTGATACAGGATCTCATTCTGTCACCCAGGCTGGCGTCCAGTGGTGCAATCATGGCTCACTGCAGCCTCAACCTCCTGGGCTCAAGCGATCCTCCTGCTTGGGCCTCCCAAGTAGCTGGGACTATATAGGTGCATGCCACTGCACCAGGCTAATTTTTTTTTATTTTTGGTAGAGACAAGGTCTCCCTGTGTTTCCTAGTCTGGTCTCGAATTCCTGGGCTTGAACAATCTGCCTGCCTTGGCCTCCCGAAGTACTAGGATTCCAGGCATGAGCCACTGCGCCCGACCGATAATGTGTGTCTTTTGATGCCTTTAGTATCAAGGAGAAAAAAAAAGTGAGTGGCTACTGATAAAGAACTGGAAAGAAGGCCCAAAGCAGATCTGAGCTGGCCCACTCACCCGCTCCCCGCCACAGGAAAAGCAGGGCACTGGCGGGGCTCTCTGGGAGCTAGAAAACAGGGCAAGAGAGGCTGAGTCCCCTATCCAAAGCCTAATTCCCTCTGTGATGCCCAGGTCTCACCTGTCCCCCAGGCCAGGGATGCCAACCAATTGGATGATGTAGATCCCTATTTGACAAAAAAATACAAAGAAGAACACAAAGAAACTGAAAGAGTTGTCGGACCTGTGGAGAGAGAGAGAAATGAGAAGTCACAAGAGGGCTTGGGCCATGTTCCTCAGTATCCTTACTTGGTGTGACATCTCTTTTCTCTAGGAGCCAGGAGGCAGCACGGGCAAGAGACAGAGCTCCAGGGGCCCAGCCACACCATCCACAGGGACACACACACACACACACACACACACATACCCCACCATAATCAAGAAGAGCTTGCCTTTCACTGCCTTCCAATTTAAGGGGTCAGTGCTTGACCCCTTCCTCAAAGAGCTGATAAAGTTGCTCCCCCAAAGGACAATATAAAGAGCCTAACGCTCCTGCAGTGAGCCAAGATCGTGCTACTGCACTCCAGCCTGGGCAACACAGTAAGACACTGTCTCAGAAAAATAAGTAAATTAAAAAATAAAGAGCCTAACACTCCATCTTCTGGAGTACTTGCGTTTCATAACAGGCAAGAAAAACTAAGCCAAAGGCATAAATCTCTAATAATAAAACTGCATGAGGCCAAGAATTTGAGACCAGCCTAGCCAACATGGCAAAACCCTGTCTCTACTAAAAACACAAAAATTAGCTGGGCATGGTGGTGTGTGCCTGTAATCCCAGCTACTTGGGAGGCTGAGACAGGAGACTCGAACCTGGGAGGTGGAGGTTGCAGTGAGCTGAGACTGTGCCATTGCACTCCAGCCTGGATGACAGAGAGAGAGTCTGTCTCAAAAAAACAAAACAGGCCGGGCACGGTGGTTCACGCCTATAATCCCAGCACTTTGGGAGGCCAAGACAGGTGGATCACTTGAGGTCATGAGTTCAAGACCAGCCTGGTCAACATGGTGAAACCCCATCGCTACTAAAAATACAAAAATTAGCCAGGTGTGGTTGTGTGTGCCTGTAAGCCCAGCTACTCCAGAGGCTGAGGCAGGAGAATCACTTGAACCCAGGAGGGGGAGGTTGCAGTGAGCCGAGATCGCATCATTGCACTCCAGCCTGGGTGACAGAGTGAGACTCCCTCTCAAAACAAAAAAACAAAAACAATAGAACTTAAGCATACGTAGTAACAAAGAACAATCAAAACAAAACAAAACAAAACCTGTACATCTGAGTGGAAGAAAAAAATATTTGGGGAATAGGGGACACCAGACAAAACTCTCTCAAGAGCTGAGGACTTCCATCTCTGTGTCCTTGAGGGCTAGAACAATGAGGGTTCAGGGCCTCCAATGGTACAGGGATGGTTCAGCCACTGCCCTATCCCCTCTTCCCAGGGCCTGCTGGCCTCCCAGCCCTGAAAGCATCAACCCTGAGGTACAATTCCAGAACCCCTGGGGGTCTGTAAGGTGTATCCAGCTATGTTCCCAGTATCTAGCTTAGGTGTTGGCACTCTGAGTTATTGGGAAGCATCAATAGTCATGGAGAAGAGCGCTGGAGAGCACTCATCTGACACTACCAGAGAAGCACACCCTAGAGCCTCAGAAGGGAGTTCCCAAAGAGCGTCCCCTCCCTCTTCCCAGTAACAGCATCAGCTAGACTGGGAGCAGTGGGATGGCAGGTCCCTTCTCTAAGTCTCCTGTGCCTGGTCCAAGGACAGGGCCCAGAGTAGACCTCAGGTACAGAAACTGAAGAACAGGGCCCCCAGTCTCTGCTCTGGGTGGGAACAGAGGAACAGAATGTAGGGAAAGTGGATTTCCCTACATTCTGTTCTGCTCTAACACTTGGATGGGGTCCCAGGGCCTATAGCCCTTAGCCTGCTACCTGGGGTGCCAGCCATAAAATCTCACCCCTTGCCCCGGCCTCACTCACCTAAAGGCCTTATAGATGGGTCGGTACCAACAAAGGAAGGCACAGGGAGTGAAGATCAGAAACCACAGGATGGAGAGGCCAAAGTCCACTCCCTTGGAGCTGTCACCCGAGAACGAGGCCAGGCAGGCAAGCAGGTTCAGAAACAGAGTCACTGAATGCACTGGGGAGGGGACAGGACAGAGTTATGACTTGCGCCACGGTGGCTGAGGGGCTCCAATGTGGCGGCCACTCCCTAGGAGAGGTGAGGTTCATGCTGCGAAGGCAGCTGCAGAGACAGAGGAGCCCACTCTGTACCTAGGCAGGGATAGCTCCCAAATCCTGGTTTTATGGGACCTCAAAACCAGGGATCAAACTACATTCCTGAGAGGTGATGGGACAGCCCGGGTGTCTGAGGGGTGTGGAGGGAAGATGCAGACCCAGGGCTGGTCCTTGGGGAAGGAAGTCTTTCCTTTAGCAATGCTTTTCCCTGGCCCTGGATGGCCCCCGATGGAGCTGCAGGAGAAGTCTTCTTCCTCACCCTTCAGAATCCACAGGCCTGTGGACAGGGAAGGCCTTCACCTAAGGAGGGCCTTTTAGTGCAGTGAGCTCTGAAGGAACTTGGAAGCCTCTAGTTAGTCCCACCCTCCGTGATTTGTGGTCTGGACTGCCCCTTTCAAGGAGGTTTCCAGACAGGGGGCAGCCTGTGGGCAGAGGCACCTCCCCAACCCAGCCCAGGCACTGAGGAAGGCTGGAGTCTGCTAAAAGCCTGTATACCAGGGAGGAGCAGCCAGGGCCAAGATGGGGCTCTGAAGTCACACCCAATTCGCCCTTAAGCTTGGAGGGCAGGAGCGGGACTCACACATCCACAGATAGTAGAGCATCTTGCATATCCGCTGGTAGTCGGCAGGGATCTCTGTGGAGAAATCCTGATAGAAGCAGGGCTTCACAGGGCACCACGAGGGCAGGGGGGGCCAGTTCTCTCTCACTGTGTGGGGGAAAAGGAGTGACGAGGTGAGGGCCCAGCCTCAGAAGGGGCATCGAGGTGCGTGCATGCCAGCACAGTGTATGGGCCAAACCAGGGTTCCCAGAGGGGCTCCAGCAAGCAGGGCTTGGAGTCTGCATGGAGTGGGACGGAACAGGAATGGAACCCAAAGAGATACCACCAAGCTCACACTGAGATAACAGATCCCAAATGCACTGGGAAATACAGAGAGCTAAACAGCCTAAGTGATTATTTTTATTAACAAGCAGCCACAAGTGTGATAACTCAGTTCATCACCATTAGCAAGGAATTGTGGGACCAATGCCCCTATGCTATCAAAGAATCGAGTCATTTTAGAGCTAGGAAGGAGTGCAGAAGTAATCTACAGCCATTACAACCACACTACAGGTCTCCTGACTTGCAACGTACTGCTCTTCCGAGGACCAGTGTCCTGTGACGAGAAGAGCCCCACAAAACTCTGAGGCAGCTCAGGGTGAATGCTGGGAGGCCCTCCACACAGGGTTCAGGATACTCATCTATGCCAGGCAGGGCAGCCCCAGGCCCCAGCAGCCTCCCTTACCATGCAAGTTGGCTACAGTGTTCTGCAGCTCCCGCTCCTTGCGTTCCAGCTCAGCAGCTTTCCTGTCCAGTTCTTCCTGCTGCCGAAGCAGGCCTGCCTGGGCTGCAGACACCGCAGCCTGGAGAGAAGAGGGGAGGTACAGGGACAGCCAGACACAACAAACAGAAACAGTGTCAGCCTGGGTGGGCAGGCAGAGAGGCCTTGCCCCAGGCAGGGACAGCCAGCAAGGAGTCCCAGAAGCAGTCCCCACCTCCCAGAGTGTCTTAGGTACCAGAGACCACCTTAGAGAGGCCAACCTGTCTTCCACTGCCCCCGCACCTTCCTGGTCCCTTGGCCATGACTAGGTTCTCCTCTGCCCTCATCCCTAAGCTTGAGTTGGGAAAACTATCCCCAGTGGCTTCTCCACCTCTTCCTCATACTGGGTCAAGGCAGAGCTCAGTGATTGTGACCTTTGGGAAAAAGACCTCACAAGAAACTAAACTATAATAAGAAACCCACAGACCCAAGCCTCATTTGAAGAGCCTGGGTGAATGTGTGAGAAGGAACACAGTGCAAGCCTGCTAGCAGTGAGTGGAAAGGGGAGACATGTGAGGGTAGATGGCGTGTGCCTGAGCCTCAGGATCTGTACAAGCACCCTGCCCCCTGGCCTGCCCCCAGAAGCTGCCTCCTGAGGTCCCCCTAAACTGCGACTGGCTACACCCCAGGACAGCCCCTTAGGTGTGGCCCTGCCCTGCCTGGCTTTAGTGGTGTGCAGAGTCCACGCTTATCTCCTCTCCAGGCAGGGCAGAGCCTCTGAGTGACAGTGTAAGGGACTGACTGTACATGAGGCTGAACAGACCTGGCCCCGGGGCCCTGCACCTGCTGGCAGCTGCTGCCATTTGGGCCAGGTTCCTCCTGATAGATGAGACTCCAGTCCTTTTTAGGGAGAGATCTCAAACTGGTCATCTCACAGGATGACAAACCAGGCACATGTGTACACACACCAACCTCTCCAAAAACTCTTCAAAGACCTAAGGCTGCCTTGGGGAGGGAAGTTTCAGGCACTGGTGGCAGAAGCAGGAGCAGAACTGACCCCGCTGTGCCACGCTGGGGGTCTTGACCTCCTCCAAGTCTGTGACGTCAGTTGAGAAGGACCCAGCTCCCTACAGCCCACCACCCAGCTGCACAGAAAGGCACCTCCGCTTGTAAGGGCTGCCTCACCTCCACAGGGCTCTGGGGCCTGGGAGGAGCGCTGGGCAGGCTCCGGGTGCCCTGCCCTTCTTCCTGCTCATCTACACTAGGCCTACCTTGGGAAGCTTTCGCATGTAGCTGTCTCTGAGAATACTTTCTCCTCCTAGGAGCATCTGCCTCTCTGAGAGCTCGCTCGCTGCCAGGAATTGGGCAGGCGGGAACTTGCCGGCCTGTCTAAGCAGGAGCTGCAACGCACAACTCCACCGTGGGTCACGCTCATAGGGGCAGCGAGGAGCGCGGCGGGAGGGCAGTGAGGCAGTGCAGTGGAGCACCAGGCACAAAGCAGAAAAGATTCACAGTATTTGGTGAAGGGACAAAGGAAGACAGGAAGGAAGGTGAGAATCAATGAAGTTAAAGAAAAAAAAGAGAGATTCTGGGCCCCAAGGAAGAGAGAACAAGTCAAAGGCCTGAGGAGGACCTGGAGGGGTACAACAGGGACAAATGCCCCCTCTGGAGGCACCAAGGAGCCCAGCCTGGTGAGTAGAGCTTATTTCTCAGTGGTGGTGGTGGATGGGATGCAGAGAGTAAGGATATTAATTGGCAGAGCAGCCCCTCGACTTGTAGGTGACCAGCTCCAAACAAATTAGCAAAAGGGTCCTTAGGGGGCCAAGGCTGAAGGCTCTCTGCTTGCCCCGAGCCTCAGGGCTCAGCTACTGGTCTGGGTGATTCCCTCACTGGAGAGAAAAGACCAGAGTTCTTTGTCAGCAGTACCTGGGGGGTCGGCTGGGTTGGTTCCACTGATGGCTGGAGAACCGCTGGCTGCGAGGACCCAGGGAGTTGTGTGACAGGAACTGTTGTCGCTGCATTTGTCTACATGGAACAAACCAAAGGACAGAAGTGAGTGGGACTCCACTAGTTGGTGACGAGGGGGCAAACCCACAGCAGGATGGGTGATGTGCCCCTGACTGTGAGGGGACTCCCTTGGGGCCTGCAGTGGGCCTTCCCCTGTGGCTTCCTAGCCAACAAGCCTCAGGTTCAGGCCATGTGATCCCTAACCCAGCACCCCTGGGCTCGCTGGGTCCAGCACTCTTGGGCACTGCCCTGACCTCCTTGGGGAGGGGCCCTGGTCACAGATCTCAAGGGGAGAATTTCACAGAGCGTTTGGTGGCTTTCCCATCCTTACCCTGTTTCCCGGGTTCATGTTAGGACTGTCCCTTTGAGGATTGCCGCTTCTCAGAGCTGCTTCTGTCCTTGCCAAGGCTCCCTGCCCTGGAGACCCCAGCACCACCCCAGAGTGTCACGGGACTTGGAAAGAGGGCCTGTTCACCAACCTCTGAGAAGGGGTTGAATTCCGCCAGGCCGCCCTGCGGGGCGTTCGTCAGCTGGGTCACAGAGGGATCCTGAGAAGGTGAAAAAGAGCCCTCAGACACAGAGGAGAAAACCCTGGCCAGGGCCGGCGGGCGAGCCGGTGACGCCTGACTGAAGTGGGGCTGCTGATCACGCTCCCGGGACCCTGAGAAACCTCTCCCTGGAAGGGTTCTGTGCCTGCCCCTGCCACACCACAGTTGCAGTCCCTTCTCCCTTCCTGGAAAAGGTTCAGCCCAGGAGAGACCCAGAGCAAGCTTTACCCAGAAGCTTGAGAGTACACACCACACAGGCTCCTGTTGGTACCCTGTACAGATTCAAAATGGTTCATAGTATTTACCTCTAGAGAGTGGGGTTTTTTTTGTTTTGTTTTTTGTGGGGTGGGGTGCTGAGGGGCAAGTGAATGGGGTGGTGTGGGCAGAGACTTACTATTGACTTTATAACCTTTCTGTACTGTTTTATTTATCATTCATTTATTCCTCTTATTTTTTATTTTTTTATTTTTTCGAGACAGAGTCTTGTACTGTCGCCCAGGCTGGAGTGCAATGGCGTAATCTTGGCTCACTGCAACCTCCGCCTCCTGGGTTGAAGCGATTCTCCTGCCTCAGCCTCCTGAGTAGCTGGGACTACAGGTGCCCGCCACCACACCCGGCTAATTTTTGTATTTTTAGTAGAGACAGGGTTTCACCACGTTGGCCAGGATGGTCTTGATCTCTTGACCTCGTGATCCGCCTGTCTTGGCCTCCCAAAGTGCTGGGATTACAGACGTGAGCCACCGTGCCTGGCCATTCCTCTTATTTTCCAAAAGATAGTCTAAGGTAGTCGGACACAGCTCATGCCTGTAATCCCAGCACTTTGGGAGGCTGAAGCGGGTGGATCACCTGAGGTCGGGAGCTCAAGACCAGCCTGACCATCATGGAGAAACCCTGTCTCTACTAAAAATATAAAATTAGCTGGGTGTGGCGGTGCATGCCTGTAATCTCAGCTACTCGTGAGGCTGAGGCAGGAGAATCACTAGAACCTGGGAGGTGGAGGTTGTGGTGGGCCCAGATCGCACCATTGCTCTCCAGCCTGGGCAACAAGAGCAAAACTCCGTCTCAAAAAAAAAAAAAAAAAAAAAGATAGTCTAAGGTTCTAGAACAAAAATATGCTGCTGGCTGCCAGTACTGATTTTATTAAATCGGGCACACTTGCTAAGAGCAGAGATATGATAGGCTCAGATGAAAATCCAAGAAAATGTTGTTTTTGGGTTTCGGGGATTTTTTAAAGTTTTTCATAAAATCCAAGAATGTCCTCAGAACACAACCTTGTCTCCTTTTCCCATCTGATCTCTGCATGGGGCTCTGCCATCCTCTTTCCTGCGCCTCTGCTGGCCTGGGGCAGTTGTCTTCATCCTGTCCCGCCCCCAGGAGAGCTCCTCCGCACCCTCCCCTTCCTGGTAACAGATGCAGGGCTCAGGTCCAGCTTCACAGCCATGCCTGGCCTCCATGAGGAACAGCCCTGAGGGTGGCCAAATTCAGGGCTGTTCCTGCCTGTGGAGACACTGCTTGGGTTCCACACCTCACCCCACACCCCTAATTATTAAACCAGATGCTCACAGCAGGATGGGTGATGTGCCCCTGACTGTGAGGGGACTCCCTTGGGGCCTGCACTGGGCCTTCCCCCCTAGGAGCATCTGCCTCTCTGAGAGCTCGCTCGCTGCCAGGAATTGGGCAGGCGGGAACTTGCCGGCCTGTCTAAGCAGGAGCTGCAACGCACA